TGCTGCACACCCCCGCACATCGGCGAATCGTCCTGCGGCGCCATGGGAGGGTCGAGGTAGGCGGCGAACAGCGCGTCGGTGTCGTCGTTACGCATCCCCTGCGGATGGAAGTACATGAGCGAGTCTTCCGAAAGAGGGCGCATCGGCTGGTGGGTGAAGTGGAGCAAGCTGTCCGGAGGGAGCATCGGCGGATGCCACAGCGTGTTGGCCGTGGTGCACGTACGAGAACGACGTATAGGGAGTGAAGGGGAAGTCGTCAGGCTGCGACGCCGGCGAGGAGCTCGAGAACGAGTTGCTGTAGGAGCCGTATGGCACGGCTGAGAAGCGCAGCCCCAGCACCGTGTTCGCGGCCCCGTACGCGTCTTGTAAGGGCGCGCGGAGCCGCATTCTTCACTAGACAGTGCAATACATCAATGTCAGCAAGACTCGAGTTAGATCTCACTCACCTTGCGAGTCCCCGATGGCACAGAGACGTTCTGCGCGAGGCAGACCGCACGCGAGCGAGAGCAGGACAGCCAGGGGGCTGCTATCGTGCTTTGGAGTCGTCCTGTCGGGGGCGCGCCGTCCACGAACGCGGGGGAGCCAATGTGTGCCCCCCTGCGGCCTGCGGCGCACGGCGGTACAGTACTAGCAACGCAACGCGTTCGCGTACGTGTACGCAAGAGCACGAAGAGTACACTGACCGACGCAAACCCATGGGCGTCAGGATTCATGTCACCGCAGACGTGCAAAGTGAACATACCGACGTCGAATCCGTGGCACAATCGCTCGCAGCCACGGCATACTCAGCGAGACGGCGAGGAGACGTCTCGCTACGAGTGCACATGCATGCACGACGTCTTGCTTGTCGTCAGGGCGAACGCATTCGGCGCAGTCTTTGCAGCTTCGCCGCCGGGAAAGCATTCCGGGGCAGTATGGCCAGAATCTGCGAGAGTAACCATGTTAGCCCGTCCCCGAAAGCGTGTACACCCGCGGACGTGTACAGAATTGATGAGTATACATACCGTGCAGCATTGTATGTGTTTATCCGCGCGCTCGACGCTTTGCGATGGCGGAAGGCGAACTGCAAGAACGGCATGCCAGTAGTAGGGCCGAAACAAAAACCATCCGCCCTGTCTCGGCATCGCATCGTAGGCCTGTTCCAACATAAATCAACGCAATCTTGGGCCAGGAGATACAAACTGTGAAGTTCACGAAGCCCTGCGCGAAGAAAAAATCTGCGTCAGTTTCGTGCATTTCATGTGCAGATCGCTCGAAATCCGACAAATCCGCGCGTCGCGCAACGCCATCGCATCCTGCGTGCACGAAATCTTACATAGACGTCGCAGTAAACCCTGTGTATACTCCCGCATCGTTTCTGGGCGCGTGGAAACGATTTGAATTCTGCCGTCGTCACTCATCCTGGTGGTTCCACCTGTACTCGCACAGAACATCGAGCCTTCCACCCGCCCACCGCTGCAAGAGCCTCCAAAATTACAACCATGGGCACCCACAAGCCGCAGTGCGTCGTGTGCGCACCGTCCGCGCGCTCTGAGAGGAGCAGAACCATGTATCATTGTTGGGCACGAATCCATATGCAAGTAAGTGGACGAAACACAAGAACGCACGGCGCACGCCCCGCTCCGCTCCCGCCGCAGCGGCCGTCTACACACACCCCATATCGACATCCCCGCGCCCTCTCAACCCGTTTTCGCGCGATTCCGGAGGGGTCGGCCGTTTTGCCCATGGCCGCGCCCTCGGCGCCTGCCACCCCCGCCCACAGTGTATCGTCCCTCCCGCCTCAACGCCGCAACGGGAGACGTCGAAACAGCGACTGCAATGTGCAGAGCTCTGCTGCGCATCACGGAAGCCACACAGTCGCGCGGGGCACGCAGGTTCCCGCGCGCTATGCCTGCATGTGTGCGTTCGCGCGAACACAGAATCGCGCACTGCGCCCCGCCATCGTCGACGACCACGGCGTCCATGCACCGACGCACTGCGCGGACCGCGCTGCGTCGTATCGCCGAATTTCGAGCGGATCTGACGGGGTCGGACGTTTTGCCCATGTCCGGGACCGCATGCCCCGCGCAGAGAATCGGCCCTCCCGCCCCGGCATCGTCCCCGACGCGGTCGAACTCACGACTACGATGTGCAGCGCGGCACGGCGCGTCAGCCCCTCACGCTGTGTGCACCGGGGGCGGAGGTACCTGCGTGCTATGTCCGAACATGTGCGTGCGGGGGGCGCGCGGGGCCACAGAGCCGCACCCCGCGCCCCCGCGCCGACGAATTCCGGGGCGTCCGTACCTCCACGCACTATACGGACGCCGCTGCAC